TTACAAGATTTCAAGTACAAGGCAAGAAAGGAAATGAACCTTAAATTTCTAGCATAATCTCAACCATTTAAATAACAATGGGACCAGCAGTTTGCATAATGGCTATGTCCCTAGACTCCCATACAGTTGACTGTGGTTCGAGGCCTGGACCCGGTGCCTTAAACTCATGCTGGGCATGTGTGTATGCGTGCCCAAGATCCGGAGAGGAAAATGGAAGTGAAGAGGTGTGGCATGGCCATCCCCTCTGGGGGGTGATTTCTCGCTTTCTGTCTCTACTGTCTTTCTGGCAAGCGCACATGCCCTATAACAAAATACCTTTCAAAAAAAAATTTTTTTAATTTAAAATTTTTAAAAAATAAATAACGATGTTTTATTGTTCTCCAATTAACTCATATGTATTCTAATTAAGGTAGGGACCTAATAAGTTGAGCCAAAAGAATTATGAAACAAATTCAACTATTAATAAGGGAAAGAAATTCTTTCACAAAGAGTGAAATCTTTCTCATAGCAATATGAAAGAAAACAGATACCCTAAAATAATGGATTTTTTTCCGAAAGAGCTGATAATCCAAGCATAAAGAGTAGACAAGGGATTGACCTCTATGACTGAGCTTGTTAGAAAATAAAATGTTACTTTAATGAGTCAGGTGTGTAACAGAGAAATTTATCCTCATACAATAAGGAGACTGTAATACTTTCAAGATACCATGCAATTCATAACCACACACACATAAATTCTATCCTTCCCTAAATACATCAGATAAACCTCTCATTTTTAGTTATTTCAGTTCTAATAAAGAAAAACAGAATTTTCCAAATCACTGGAGAGAAAAAAACTGGGCTGTCAGAAATGTTCCTGGTGAAACCTATTAGCATTCCTGGCTATTCTACTGGATTCAGTGAACAAGATAGTGAGGGAGGTTTATGAACAGACTTTGTCAACTATACTCATATTCCAGAGATAATAAAAATGGAAGGAAAGGAAATGTATGAATGTCATTACTTAAGGAACCAGAAAAGTTCAAGAGGGACCACAACCTAAGATCTAAATGAATAACTTTTTTTTTGTCTTATTTATTTATTGTATTATCATCATAATCTTGTTTATATTACACTGGATTGCATATACCTTTACAGTGTATTACATTGCTTTTTCAAAAGGGAATGCCATGCATGTCAGTCAATACAGAGACATTAATCTCCCCACTTCATCATTCAGTATCTTTTCATTGTTTTTCCCGATCATTATCATTATTATTCCAATTATTTTTTTAAAAACAATCACTATTTCTCATTTTGCTTGTAAAAGGACTTTACCCACCATGAAATACTTCTCAGACCAATCCAGTTGAGAATACTATACATGTCGTCATCAACAAGTAATAAGCCATATCTGTTTCCCACAAACATCCTGCCTCTTTATTTGTTCTCTTGCTATCTTTCTCTACCCTCTTCTCTTTAAATGAATAACTTCTGACAGAGCGTTGATTTAGGTTGAATTAATGGAGGTGTTTTAGAGATGCTGATGTTCTGATAACTAAGATTTCTTTTCTTTCTATTTTTCATTTAAAACGTTGATATTGTGACTGAATATTCTCAATATTAACTATCTTGTATGTCCTGCTGAGGCTCAGTCTACTCTAAAAAAATCCTTGTTTTGGAAGCATAAAAGTATTATCAGATATACATGTAGGAGGGAAGTAATTTAAATTTAAAGCCTTCATAAATAACTTTATGAAGCCAAAATACAAATGTGAAGAAAAATCAGAAAGCTAAACAATAACAAATTAACACCACAAAGCAAATTGTACAGGCCTCTCAAAACATTATCAGGAAGTTATGGAAACAAAGAAAAAGCTGATCTAATACTTTCCTTTTGATTAACTGCTTGAATGCTAATAACAATTTTTAATAAGAGAAAGTCTAGTTGGAATTAATTAATCAACCTTCAACTAACATTACTATACAAATAATTTCTGCAGCCAGCATATGGCATAAAGGTTAAAGTGCTAGATCCCACATAGTCAAATGGGTAGCTTGAGTCCCAGACTGGTGGCTTGAAAAACACGTTATGTGCATGTGCGTGTGTGTCCAAAATCCTGAGAGGAGAATGGAGGAGAAGGAATTGTGGCACAATCATCCCTCCTCAGAAGAAATCCTTGGGAAGGATTTCTCACTTTCCCTCCTTCCATCTCTCTCCAGCAAGCACATGCACCCTTATGGTAAAAACTTTTTTTAAATTTTGGTTAATAATAATAACAATAATTTCTGATGAAAAACTGAATGCTTTTCCTCTAAGATCAGAAAAAAGGCAAGGATGCTTGTTCTTATTTCTAGTCAACTATGTACTGTAGGTTTAGCTAGTGCAATACAAAGAAAGCAATAAAAGGCATCCAGATCAGAATAGAAAAAAAGAAGATTCCTTTAAATTTGTACATGACAGAATTTATGTAGAAAATCCTATAACATCCACAAAAAAGCTACTAGAACTCAGTATAATAAAATTGTAAGATTTAAATTCAAGATATGAAAGCTAATAACTTTTTACATAATATCAATCAACAATCAGAAATTGTGATTAAAATTACTTTTATAATAGTTAATAAAACATAAAATATTTGTAGGTAAATTTTTTAAAGTGTAGTACCAGCATACTGAATACAACAAAAAATTGCTGAGACACTGAACATATAAATAACTGGACAGAGATGTGGTCTTTACAAATTGAAAGATTCAATAGTGTTAAAATTTCAATTCTCCTTAAATCGATCTAGTTGTAATATAATCCCAATCAAAATTCTAAAAGGTACTTTTATGAAAATGACATGATGATTCTAAAAATTCACATGCAAATGAAAGGAACCTAGGTTAGCCAAAACAACTAGTAAAAAGACCAAAGTTGAAGGATTTATAATACTTGACTTCATGACTGAGGAAGTTAATGAACACAATGTATTGGTAAAGGAATAGACACATTAAGTCAATGGAACAGAATGGAGTCAAGAAACGGATTAAGGGAACAGCAGTTAGCATAATGGCTATGTCGCTGGACTCCCACGTAGTTGACCTTGGTTCGAGTCCCAGACCTGGTGGCTTAAACTCACGCTGAGTGAGTGTGCGTGCGTGCCCAAGATCCCGAGAGGAGAATGGAGGAGAAGGAATTGCGGTGTGGCCATCCCCCCTGGGGGGTGATTTCTCGCTTTCTGTCTCTTTGTCTCTGTCTTTCTGGCGAGCGCACGCGCCCTATAGCAAAAACCTCTAAAAAAAAAAAAAAGATTAATACACAGATAGTTAAAATATTCCACAATGTTAAGGCAATTCAGTGGTAGAAAGGACAGTCTCTTAGTCTTTTCAAAAATGGTTTGGGGACTAGGAGATGGCGTAATAGTTAAATCACTAGACTCCCACATAATTGGCTGTGGTTTGAGTCCTAGAGCTGGCAGCTTAAACTCACACTGAGAGATTGAAGGAGAAGAGATTGTTACAAGGCATTTCCCCTGGGGAGGAATTTCTTGCTTTCTGTCTCTCTGGCTAGTGCACATGCCCTATAGCAAAAATATCTTTAAGAAAAAAAATGGTTTGGGAACAAATGGGTATCAGCATGCAAAAAAAATAATAATAATAATAATCCTAAATACAACCATCTGTATTTTCAACATTAAACCACATAGAAAGGTTAACTCAAATAGATAATAAAGCTAAATGTAAGACCTACAACTATGGAACTTCTGGAATAACAATATATGGAAAACAAAATCTTTGTGACTGGACTAGGCAAATATTTCTTAGACATAACCCCAAAAGTGTGAACTATCAAAGAAAAACTAATAAATTCAACATCATCAATATTAAGAACTTTTGCTCTTTGAGGACGCTTAAGAAAATGAAAAGACAAGTCACAGTGGGGATAAAATATTTGTGGCTAAGTCATAAAGGACTTATATCTAGATGATATTAAAATTCTCAGAAATGCAATATTTTTTAAAAAGCCCCAATTATAAAATGTCAAGATTTGAACACATGCTTCATTACAGAATTATGAAAAGGTAAATTAAAACCACCATAAAAATGCCACTACACACTTGTGGTAACAGTTAAACTAAATAGGACTGACTGTTATGGAGGAACTGGTACTCCCACAACCTACTATGAGAGTGAAACATGGAAAAACACCTTTGAAACACAATTTGGTAGTTTCTTAAAAAGTTAAATATACAATTACCATTTGACCCAGCCGTTTTCCTCTTACGTATTTCCTCAAGAGAAATGAAAGCGTATGTCCAGATTTGTACACAAATATTCATAACAGCTTTACTTGTAATAACCCCAAACTACAAACAACCTACATGCTTATCAACAGGTAAAAAGACAAACAAAATCTATTACTATACAGCAAAAAAAAAAAGGAACTAGTGATAAGTGCAACAAAGTAGGTGAATCTCAAAATAATTATGTTGAAAGAAAGAAGGAAAAATAAAAGAGGGGAAATATATACTGTACGGTTCCACTTATATAAAGTCCTAGAAAATGAAATCATGACACAAATCAGACTCATGGTTTCCTGGAACAAGGAAGGAAAAAGAAAAGTCACAGGGAACTGTGGGTGATAGATATGTTCATTATCTTGATTGTAACAACTGATTCACATGTGTAAACATGCCAACATTTTTCAAATAGTAACTTTAAATATGTACAGTTTTAGTATATGTCAATTATGCCTCAATAAAATTGGTAACAAAATTTTAATAGCAAAAGGGATGATCCGAAAGAGCAATCCATGTAGCTCTAAATATATTCTTCTAAATTAATCACTGTTTTGTTTTGGTCAAACTCAATTCTACTATCAGCAAAAATAAAAATAACCACTTTCTTTGGAAAGCTAAGTGACTTTAGCAAGAATACATTAATTTTCACTACACATTCACTGTATTTGTGATGTGTTGATAGGTCCTGGACAACTGAACAACTAGGGCAAGTATGCTAAATATGAACAATCTTACCTTGATTTGTGCAAAGGGTCTCTCATAGCCTCCAACATAGAGAAGGCCAACATTCTGAGGAAGTAACCTACAAGGGAAAAAAGCATTATTTATAAAATATTCTCCCTTAAATGTAAGGTTTGCATGATCATTAAAATTTGTATAATGGCTATAATAAATAATTAATATCTACATAATTTTTCTTGTTACCATGTGACAATTGTGATGTGGTTGTACGATTACCCTTCATTAATATGGTCTAGTAAATCACAAAAGCACATTCTCAAAGCAGCTTAGATTTCACGAAATAAGATATTCAGTCTTCTGGAGATATCCTCTGTTCCCTACATTCTTTAAGAGTCTATAAAACATAATGGTTACTAAAAGAATTAAACTAACTTAGCAAAAATATTTTTATATTTAGAATGTAAGTGATGACTTGTAGTAATGAGTTTTAACATCCCATTGAAAGCTAAAACATAACTAAAGGCATTTATTTATTAGATGCAAGTAAAGAGCAGAGGAAATATTCTCAAATTTCATGAGTTAAATGGAGAACTTCAAATAAGAAATTAATCTAACCAACAAACTTTAAATCACTCATAAATCATTACTGGTATCACAAATTTAACAGTTATAAATAGCAATGGTAATCACAAATTTAACAGTTCTATATAGCAGTGGCTATTTATTTCCTATATAACAAATGTTCACGGAAAGCTTGATAAACCCCCTTAGAAATAAGAACAGTCACTGTTCATACCAATAGATGCTAGAAAAGGAAGAGACTAAAAGCTGGCTGGCATTTAAAAATCAATATGCTTCTCTAATTACTATGCATATGCATTGCAGGAAGCTTGCCAGTATACTATAAATTGTATCCTGTCCCTCCAACTTGCCTATATAATAACTATCTTTTCCTAAACAAGAAATTTCTTAAATATATTGGTTAGATAACATATGTTTCACTTTTAAATTACTGTCTTTCTTATTCATGTACTTTTTGAATATTATTCCTTAGCATGTATTATGAACTTCATTTTAGTGGGTTTTAATATATATCATAAAGTCATACTATGAGTGAAATAATAAATACTTTGAGAACACAAATTCCTACTCTTAAAATGGAATATATCTTTTAATATTCTTTCCTTTAAAAAATTACATCTCCAAATTGTATACCTGGTTATTGTCAAGTAATAGGCACCATTTTATCATGGGAGGGTGCTTGTGTACAATATAACAATCGCACATTTAAAATCCCCAGAGTATGGGATTAATTCACCACTGATAGGCAAATTTATATGTTTATTTTAAAATAGAAATCCTGACTTATTTAGCACCAGGTAATTGGTAATTTGCCCTTAAGTTAGGTGTACATTACGATAACCTTCATACAAATACTAACGATCTCTAAAATAGTTGCTTGTAAAGCGCTTCTATAACCGGGTTATCTAAAAGTATATTTTTTTCTTTTGAAAGGAGAATAAAAAGGCACTACTGGAAGAAAGAAAAAAGCAATCTATTAGAGTTCTTCAAAAAGTAAGACTAATGTTCATTTTCCCTTGAGTTTCCCAGATATTAACCTATCCTGAAAGGAAATCCCTGAAATTGTTTCCAGAAAAGTTTCTCACATAAAAGAAAAGTAACACCTGTTAAGGTAAAAGACTGAACATTATTTGAAAGAACATTATTCATCATATTCTGATGAAATATCAGACACAGAAAAATTTCCTTAAACGGAAATTGAGTCTGTAATTATTTCAAATTAAAGGTTAAAAAAAGGAAACAGAATATTTCTAAAAATAACCTAAGTTATTCAAAATTATCTGTTCTGTCTACACGCCATTAACTATAGTAACGACTATAAGATAGATACATTTTGCTAGAGGGGCTCCTGCCCTCTCCAGAGAGAAAAAGAGGAAAAAGAGAAAGGAAGGACGGAAAGAGCACCCCTTCAGTGCTTGTAGTTAAGAGCAGCCTCCTTCAAAGCCTGTGGTCAGGTTCCAATCCCTTCTCCATTTCGCTATCCTATTGGGATTTTAGACACACAAGTACACACAACCAGCATGTTTTTCAAGCAGCTGGTGCCGAGATTTGAACTACAGGTGGCCACTAGACCAAGGGGCCAGCCCAATACATTTTAAAATGCAACAAAATGTCTAGAAACAACTTATAATACCTTGAATACTGACTCTGAGTTAAGCAAAATGTACATTAGTGAGAAGGGTCTACATTATTCTTTGATTCTTTTAGTGGGATGTAAATAAAAGCAGCATATGGCATAAAGCAAATTTCAAGCAAATAGTTAAAAACACAATAATTCAGCTAGAAATCAGTAATACAAAAATAATCAGAAAACCTCCATGTCTAAAAAGACCTGGGCTGGTCCCATATTATAGAGGTAAATTGCTGTGTATAGAAAGTTGGATCCTATATAGCTGACCGTGGTTTGTATCCAGGTCCCGGCAGCTTGAAAAATCTTCCCAATTTTGTGCATACACATCCAACATCCTAATAGAATAAAAATGAAGAAAAAAGGATATTGGTGCAACCACACTTTATCGGAGGGTTCTCTCTCTCTCTCCGAGGTGAGCACATATGCATTCTGGCAATTAAAGAAATATATTTTAAAAAGTAAAAGTAGGAGACAGCAGGTGGCATGGTGGTTAAGGGACTGGAACTCCCAGATGACTGACCGCATTCAAGTTGTGGACCTGACAACCTGCTTTCTCACGCTCCCTCTCTCTTTCTCTGGCAAAACTCATGTGAAAAATAAATAAATAAATAAATAATTCTGAAAAAATTAAGTAAATAAAAAGACAGAAGTATACTTATAAATAATTCACGAGTCAGGAAAAAAAAAAACCTTGAAATTATGAAGTATTTTGAACTGAAAAACAAAATAACAATCTATCGAAACTTGTGGGAAAGCTGGGTTCAGTGCCACACACTTGTAGTTTCAGCTACTCACGAGGCTGAGACGAGGGAACCAGCAGTTAACGTAATGGCTATGTCGCTGGAATCCCACGTAGTCGACCGTGGTTTGAGTCCTGGACCCGGTGGCTTAAAACTCACACCAGGCATGTGTGCGTGCGTGCCCAAGATCCCGAGAGGAGAATGGAGGAGAATGGAGGAGAAGGGATCGTGGTGTGACCATCCCCCCTGGGGGATAATTTCTTGCTTTCTGTCTCTATGTCTCTCTCTGTCTGGCGAGCGCAAGTTTCATAACAGTTTTATTCATAATAGAAAAAATTTAAAATATCCCATATGTCCATGAACAGATAAGATAAATGGGCAAGTGTTAATATAGACATATAATAAAATACAGTACAAAAAAATAAATTATTGGTACATAGAACAACACAAATGAGGGGGCCAGCAGGTGGCATGGTGGCTAAGGGTGTTGCATTCCCATATGGCCAACCATGGTTTGAGCCCCGGACCTGGTGGCTTGCTTCTCACTTTCTCTTTCTCTCTCTCTCTGGTCAAATTAAAATAAATAAGTAAATAAGGTTAATTAAAACAATTCTTTAAAAAACAAAAACAAAAAAGCACAGATGAATCTAATGGTGAAAGAAGCCAGACCCTACCCCCTCCAAAAACCATATACTACATGCATCCATTTAACTAAACTTCTAGAAAATGAATACTTAACAGCAGATGGTAGGCAGACAAGAGAATGAACTGCTCACAAATATACAGTGAGCTGAGACTGCAAATAACTGTATATCTAAAGAGAAATTTTAAAAATCTTGAGAAAAATGAAAGTGGAAACACAATATACTAAAACTAATGGTATGCAGCAAAAGCAGTCCTAAGAGGGAAATTTATAGCAATAAATGTCAGTAACAAAAAAAAAAATCTCAAGCAACCTAATGTTATATCTCAAGGACTTAGAAAGAGAATAAATGATGCCTAACGTTAGCAGAAAGGAAGAAATAATAAAGAACAGAGTAGACATAAATTAAATTAAATAAAGACTAAAAAAAGAAAAGAATCAACAAGACTAAGAGCTGATATTTTATAAAGATAAATGAAATTGACAATACATTAGCTAAACTGAAAAACAAAACAAAACAAACAAGATTCAAAAAAACGAAATCAGAAAAGAAAAAGGAGACAGAATTGTTACCATAGAAATACAAAGAATCATAAGAGACGACCATGACAGTTCGGGTAACAATTCTTAGGCAGGACAACAGAACTGCTGAAATACACATATCTACATGCATGTACACAATTACAAAGCACATTTCTTAAAAGGTTTCATAGAATAAACATTTCATTTCCTATACTGGGAAATTCTAAATTTTTATTTTATGCTTTTCCCCTCTATTTTTGTTATAGTGTTTGCTAAGTACAATATATGAAAATGAAGTTTTTATTTTCCCAGTGAGAAATGTAGGAACATTATGTTAAGAAGACTTTTCTACAGAAAAATAAGTACAAAAGATGCTCCAGAGACAAGAAACAGAGAAATTTAAGCTGAGTGGATATAATTCACAAATCAATTTTTCTGTCTAAATTATAGTACTATGTCACATGTTACCAGCCATTTCAATAATAGCTGTGATCAATCAAAGAGAAAAATGTTGTTGCTGTTTTTCAAATCACAGACTGCAGAATGACTGAGAATTACATTCCAGAAAGAATTACTGCAATTCTGAATTTCAGGGATAATTTCAGTTTCATAGAATTCTCTACAAAAAGCAAACTGATACACGAACTAAAACCAAAATGCAAAGAACCACCTAAGTATCTCACTGACAGAATACATGTTATACTGCTGCTGTCTCTGTTATTAATTTTTAGGTACTCTTTTACTATATATAGATAGTAATAGAAAAATTTTTAAAAATGTGGATCACAGTAGATATAAAATTATTTTTCATTGCTAGGCATGAAAGATTGCTACCTATATTTCTATGAGTAATTAATCCTTTATCATTTTCATGATTCTGTGTATAAATATGAATCTGTCTATTTTGGGGGTTAGCTTAACAGCCAACTCCTGCTTTAATTGAATTAGTATACTATTTTGTTAAAACAACTACTGGCTGATTATAAGTTTGTAAAGGTCTTGAA